ACAGATGTTGCAAACACAACAATAACCTACAAACTCGTTTCATGCTTTTTCTAGTAGTAATTGCTCAGAGTGAACTAATATCGTCTTCGAATCTAGTGCACGGCTTGCACTGAGTGCATACGAAAGGTGGAAAATATGTCAATACCAGTTACTTTTTAATCTGAAATGTAACCGGTATCGTTATATCGCTCATCTTTTATGTGCACTCCACGCAGGCAGGGCAGTGGAATCGAAGACGCTATTAGTATAGCAAATTATGAAAATTGTATAAGCATCCCTTATATATACAAATATCAAGCATTTAGATATTTTACCTCATTAAAAATAAAATAAAAAAATGTGATAGCATTAAACATCGTAACAATAAAATTGTATTTTTTAATGGCCAATAAAAAACATAATTTTTATATTATTTGTTATTTTGTCATAATAAATTTTCAATCAATACCTACTAACTCTTTGATTATTGTATGTTATATCAGTTTCGGTCTAACATAACAGTTATGTTTAACCATTAGATATTAAATGAAATTTTTTAGACTTTATTATTCTATAAAATAAAAATAAAAATGTAGGTTTGGCTTTTATTCAGAAAAGTCCATATCTGGCGGATCGGCCATGTTGGGTCGACAACAGCCATGAAAAGTGATACCGTTTTGAATATTTGAAAAAGATACTTATAGCGTCTCCCTACCTTGTAACTCTATGGCTTTCTCCAACAAGTAGCCTGTCATCAACGTAAATGTCTAAAAATATAGTTCCTTTTTCGTTTTTTAATATAAATTGTTCAGATTTTAATTGTTTCAAGCCGCTTTGTTTCAGGAAGTTTCTAAAATGTTCATTTCATCTAAGTGGTACTTGTTTTAGTCCGTATAAGGCTTTTCTCAAACGACATCCTCTATTTTCTTTCTTTCGTCATTCATGTAAAAATGCCGTTTTTATGTCAACTTTTTTAAAAATGTACTTCTTCTAGACTGTTTTAAGCTACTAGTATTATTAGCGAACTTATATTTGCCACTGGACTAGACTTTTTCATAATATAGACCTCTGTGTTGTTGAAATCTTACAACTAGCCTATTTTTGTACTTTTTATTCTCCTTGATTCTAAAAACCCAGTTGCTAGTCAAGATTTTTCTCTCAATGGACTCTTTAATAATATCTACATAATCTCGAGTTTCATTTCTTACTTTTGAGTCTATTTTATCTTGTATTGCTTCCATTCACTTAGATGTAATGGCTTCTTCATGTTAACAGTGCAATTTCGTCATTTTTTAAACAGTAGAGAATCTTTTAAGGTTATTAATTTTTCGTCCATATCTCGTTCATATCTCATTTTCTTCTGCGGTACCGTTACCTTCTTCTAAAGGAACAGAAGTTGTTATCAGTTTATACGATACGTTGTTGTCGTCTTCTTCTTTTTCTTCTTCTTTGTCCTGATATTCTTTAGTTTCCTCATTTTTATACATACTTAGTGTTTACATTTTCAGGGCATTTAAAAACAACATCCCTAAATGTTTTAAATTCTCTGTTTTCTTTTCCCCAAAGTCGGTAACCATTTAGTGTAAAATCAACTAATTGGTATGTTTTACTTCTTACTTCGTTTTTCAATATTACCTAATACTTTAGCATATGCACAGGACCTAAAAATTTGTAAATTTTCTAAATTTGTTTTTTTTTCTGTCCAGTTCTCTCTCTCTCTCTCTCTCTCTCTCTCTCTCTCTTTCTCTCTTAACATAATTAACATTGTTTAAATTTATTTATAATGACATGAAAGTGCATATTTACAACTTTTATTATCAGGATTTTAAATTTCCCGCTGCGTTATTTGTTTGATATCGATGAAAGCGCCACATAGTGGGTCAGATGTTAACTGCGTTCGAGCTGGTCGTTGTTAGGCATGTGCTTCATATGAGCGTTTCCTATCTTTATGTCCCTGATCTCTGATATAGGCCATTTTTTATATTAAAAACTTGGAGTTTGTTTTTTATTTACCAGTTATTGTAAAATCATTTGTGATTATTTAATAATAAATAAATGCTTTTTAATTTTTTTGCCGGACCGGCGCAGAGCCGTTTTAATTGACTTCCCGCGCCGGTCTACGGGGACTCAACCGCCCATGTCAAAGGATGTAACATTTTTCAACAGTATTTGCAACTTTGTGCGGATGTCACGAACAGTTTGATAATAGACTGTTATAAAATGATTTCTTGAAACGTACTTTAAAATCAGATTTTAGATTTTTAATTGCGTCCCGTCCTATGTAAACAATTTAATTCTGCCCCTTCCAAACAAAGGGTTGCCCAATATGCTTGCTTTACGGGGAATTTGCACCTCTAGTCTAATCCAGGAAATATGTAAATGTTAAAACAACGTTTTTATTAGGAAAATGTCATATGTATAAATGGCTACTTTTATGAGTGGTAGTATATACTACATTAAGTTGACTTTTATAAATCAACGTAAAATAAAATTCGAATTATACTTAGGAGATTATTCACATTATAAAACTATTACCATCTTAACAAATCCTTTATAATGTTCTATTTTTGGAAAGCATACTTTTAACTAGTCGCCTTTGTCCTCTTGTTCCTCGAATGTATCAGATCTCTCCGGAGAGAATATTGTCAACAAGCAGCTTTCCCTCTAGTAAATTGCGCTCTTTTGTTTGAAAAACATGCTCTTTAGTCAGTGAATGGGTTCATCAAAAATTCAGAATTAACCTGCCCTCTTGACTTTTCCTTTGCACATTCATGTGGAATTGAGAGGAAGCGGAAAATCCATGAAAGAGATTGTTGATTGCTGCGGTAGCCATGATGTTTTTGCATTGTACTCTAAAGATTTGTGTATAATGATATCCATCTGAATGAAAGAGAGATAAGTATCATGTTATACGAAGTCAGATGATAAAATAATGAGATTGATGCTCAAAAAAGGATTTGAATAGATTTTTTTTTATTCCTTTACTCAACACGAAAGGTATAAAATCAATTACTCTTCGATTAAGTATTCTTGTTCTTATTTTGTTTGTATAATAATTCGGGGAGGTTTGAATATTGATTTATTTGAAGAATCCCAATGTAATTAATATATTTTTCAATAATTTATTTGATTAAAATCTTGTGTTTCACATTTTTCTTATTAACCAAATACACCGAGAAAAAACTTTGTTAGTGGGTATTAAATTTTTTAATACTATATGAGACAGATAAACTGATTAATAGCAGCTATTAAACTTATGTTCTTGAATCAGTGTCACTGTCAGAGCAACTAATAAAAAACTTTGCTTAACGTTAGTAAGTAAATTAATAACAGGTGTTATACAATTTAATAAAAATACGAAATACTTTAATATTCATTATTAAATAGCGTAATGATAGGTATTGAACAGCCTATTAGCGTTATTAATAATTTAATAACTGTTATTAAATAGTTTATTGATGGGCATTTGCAAGTTTTAATACTCCCTATTAAACCACTTTAATTGTGGTTATTAAATAGGTTTATAGAGGTCAACCAAACCACCTCCACTCGAAATAAATTGGCAATTCTTTGTTATTTAACTACAATAGGAAATATAGCCATATGTAAACTTTTGATAGTATACCCACTCTTAAAGTAAATACGTTGTACAGATTAAATATGTGTTACTTTAAAGCTACTTTTCAAACATTTTATTTCGTTTTTATGGAGAAACATCATAAAAACTTTTTTTAACGATTTTTTACCATTTTCTTTTAGAAAATAAACTTTTTAAAAAAATGGCTTTAAATGATTTGACATAATAAAGCTTTATAAAATTAACTTTAAAACTGGGGTACTACTAAAAGTTTGCATACAGATTTATTTCATATTAGAGACATTTGCAAAAACCTTAGAAAACATAAAACAAGTTTATCTAAGTAACTTATTTCTGCATCGCGTTTTAAATATAGGAATATAGATAAAAATATATAGAACAGGTGAGAAAAATTAAAAAATGTAAATACTTCTAAACAATTTAATGCATCACTAGAGAATTCTAAAAAAAATAAATAAAAACCAGGGGCGTGCAGTCCATGGAAGCGGGGGAAGCACCACTTCCCTACACTTTGAGGTTTAAAAATAAATATTTTTAAGTTTACAATGCATAGAAATTAATATTAAATTAGGTACTATATTTTCTCTAAAACATTACGTAAACTTCGTAAATGTACTAACAGTTCATTGGTGTGATGTGTAAACGCACGCACCACTCATGAGAAAATTGTGTAAGCGAACACGCCATATACTTCGAGTCCGTCGGTGGAAGCGCGTCTTGAAAAAGCCGGCTCATCTTCCAATTGATTTCGCTTGGTGTTATTGACCTTGCTTTGCCGCAACAGTAGTCAGTCTGTTTAAACAGCTAAAATACGGTCGAGAGGCAGCGATTTTTACGTTGCCTTACGCATATTGCAATTCGCACCGCGAATCGACGTGTGAGAAAGAAAATCGTAGACTTGTGCACTGTGTCTGTGCACAAAAATAATATGGTAAATTGTGTCTGTATTGTGTGCTCTTTATTGAAAAGATTTTCAAGTAGAAATTTTGAAGAGAAAACGGACATTATTAATTCTAGTAGACTTAAGGATCCTATCAATTTAGAGACGAAAGTAGAAAAGTCAGCAAAGACATTTACCAGGCATTTTCACGTAGGGTTCTATAAAAAGTATGAATGGTTAACCGGCTGCAAAAATTTGAAAAAATTGTTATGCTGGCCTTGTCTACTTTTTAATATAGCCGAAAAAACACATTGCAACTCATTCGGTATTACAGACTCGAATAATTTTCACAAAAGGTAAAACGACATGTAAATAGCAAAATAAAAGTGCTACAATTAAAAGAAAAAACATTCGGGGCCTATCGCATTGAACATAGTTTGGACAATCATTTTAAAATAAGCAACAAAATTCACAAGGAAAGAGTAAAAAAAAATAGGGGCGTCTTACAACAAATAATAGATATAACAACTTGTTTCTTGGGAGAGCATGAACTAAGTTTTAGGGCTCACAATGAAGCAAGTGGATCCGCCAATCGAGAAAATTACATGGACCTAATTTTTTTCTTATACTTTCTTATAACAACTGGTTTAAATAAGTCTCTTTTTGAAGTCGTCAAGTTGTGTGAATTAGTACTAGCCATCCCAGCCACAAGTGCGTCAGTTGAGCAAAGTTTTTCAGCTTTAAAGCGCATTAAAAGATTTATACGAAATTCAACAAGTGAAGACAGACTTTCTAATTTTGCCCCAATATCCATTGAAAAACAACTTGTTAAACAGTTTTCAGAAAATCCTAAATTTTACGACGATGTTATAGACAAATTTGCAGCCATTGAGGATAGGCGAAGTAAAAATAAATGACAACTGCTGTGTCAACTGTGCCAAAAATGCTGGAAAATATAAAAAAACTTCAGATAAATGTTTTTTTTACGTTTAAATAAACCAAAGAAGCTTTTCACTAGTTTTTTTATAGCTTCTAGAACGAAACTAGGTAACAAAGTAATAGTAGCACTTTAAAAATCTCAATCTCGAATATCCATAGTACTGAGGAAAACAAAAGCAAGATTTAGACAAAATGGTGAATGCGCCGCGAAAAATTTTCGCCTACGGCGCTGTGCTTACTGGCCTGCTGTATTTTTATACAATTGCTTCCCCTTCCAAAAATGTCACGGCATGCCACATATAAAATGGACCTAAAAAGTGTGCAAAACATTAATTGGTCAATGTATGGGCGATTGTTTCTTATATTACTAACCACAAAATGAGTAATTAATTTGTGTATTATAATCCATTCTGTGCCTGGTAAAATGTACATAAAACACACACCGCACTACGAACACACAACCGGCTCAGATATCACAATACAACCATGCAACAATTAAGGCACCTTTTTATTAACACAAATTAAAAGAAAATGAATGTAGTTAGGTTAGTGGCGTGTGGCGTGTGGCGTGAGACGTGTGGCGTGTGGCGTATGGCGTGTGGCGTGTGGCGTGTGGCGTGTGGCGTGTGGCGTGTGGCGTGTGGCGTGTGGCGTGTGGCGTGTGGCGTGTGGCGTGTGGCGTGTGGCGTGTGGCGTGTGGCGTGAGACGTGTGGCGTGTGGCGTGTGGCGTGTGGCGTGTGGCGTGTGGCGTGTGGCGTGGCGTGTGGCGTGTGGCGTGTGGCGTGTGGCGTGTGGCGTGTGGCGTGTGGCGTGTGGCGTGTGGCGTGTGGCGTGTGGCGTGTGGCGTGTGGCGTGTGGCGTGTGGCGTGTGGCGTGTGGCGTGTGGCGTGTGGCGTGTGGCGTGTGGCGTGTGGCGTGTGGCGTGTGGCGTGTGGCGTGTGGCGTGTGGCGTGTGGCGTGTGGCGTGTGGCGTGCGGCGTGAGGCGTTTGGCGTGTGGCGTGTGGCGTGAGACGTGTGGCGTGTGGCGTGTGGCGTGTGGCGTGTGGCGTGTGGCGTGTGGCGTGTGGCGTGCGGCGTGAGGCGTTTGGCGTGTGGCGTGATCATTGTGATCGTAGATCTTTGACCTCGCACGAATACTAGTTTCCTTGAGTCCTCAACGAATGTAAGGGATAAAACCGTTAATATTTACTAAGGGTTATTAAACAAATACTAGAACGTAATAAAGACTTTATTGAATATTATTAAACAAATTTAATAAAATTAACAATACTTATGGATATTAAAGTTTTTAAATTGTACATTGGCTATTAAACAACTGCTTAATTACAGCAACTTCAGGTTAACAGATTTCTAGTAACCTTCGTTTAATTATTAGTATTAAATGAAAATAAGGTAATTTATCAGTGATTATCAGTTTTTTTTTTTCTATTAAACATGTTTAATAGACCTCGTTTTCTCCGTGTAATTCATAATAAGTATGGTAATCTTTTTTCTTTCTTTCTATTAAAGTTCCTTTGATGTTTGTGTAGTTCTAAAGTCTCCAAGTACAATCTGATCGAGTAACGTCTTGATGTTACTAGAAAGTCGGTGTTTTCGAAAAGGATCTTGTGTTTTTCGTTAAATAATGTGTGTTTGGCGACTTCAGACTTTTTATTTTGTCCTAAACGTCAACTTGGTTTGTATACTGTTATTCGTGTACCAATGCCTCTCTTTGTTTGTCCTTTGTATATTTTTCTACAAGTGCATGGAATTCTGTAGACCCCTGCTGATGTGAGGAGGTATCTGGGGTCTTCCGCTGTTTTAAGATATTCTCTTATTTTTCTGTTGGCTTGTAGACAGTGCTGATTTTCTTTTTCTTTGGAATTTTCCCAATTCGATCAGCGACACCTTCTACTTACTGTATATAAAAAGTTTTGATCTTCACTAGACTTGTTCTTATTTGCTTGGTTCACATTATGATTAACACTTTGTTTACTAAGATGTTGATAACCATGAACTTCTGTGTTGGATGATTGTTGGATCCATTGTGTAGATATCAATTAGTATGTGTCTTCTTTCCGTGTATCTTTACGCCTAGTTTTTTTTCTTCTCGGCTGACTAACACGCCTTGGAAAAATTTTAGGGATATTTTCTACCGTGGCTCCAGAATATAAAAGTGTCATCTATATATCTCAGCCAATGTTTTCTCGAAGAAGTTGTCAGCTACATAGGGGAGTTTTTCCAGTACTCATCAACCTTTTCCGACACTCGCTCACAACATCATATTTCCAGTGGAATCAAACATTCTATGAACAAATTGACGGAGTCGCCATATTGGTCAGCACAGTCAGCCCAGTTGTAACCAATTTTTACAAGGTAAACTTTTAAGAGCAAGCTATTTCCACTGCTAAGGTATGCAGTTGACACATTTATAATCTGAAGCATTGGGAGAAAACATTTTCAGAATTGTATAAAGCCCCTGAACAGTTTTCATCCTAAAGTACCGTTCAACCATAGAAATAAAAGAAAACCGACAACTTGCGCTTGAAACACGACGCTATTGTTCTTATAATTCGCACGCCACTGTGTAGAAGTAAACTTGTTTTAAATCGTCTAGTGTTTACATTAAGTTTTAATGGTAAATAAGTTTTTGTTATTTCTAAAGTTTACATCATTTAAACCAGGATACTAAAAGCTATCTGAATCTCTACGTATTGTTTTCAATTTCTATCAATTTCTTACGAAAATGCAACCTACATGCAAAATATGTGTCCAGCTAATTCCAAAAAAAAATTTCAAGGTTAAGATTGTATGGATTTTTGTGGCAATAACTATCATTTAAAATGTGTTAAAATGAGTACAGAATAATACAAGATAATAATGTCAACTACCGGTTCTCAATAGAAATTTAACTAACTGTAGGTCGATTGATGATGCAAAAACTACCTCTTTTATTTACATTTTTGTAAAAAAGGTATTCATAATATTGGATTGGCCTATAAAAATGGTGTGCCACCTGCCCTCATGAGCTCATCATGTAACTGATAAAAATAAACGTTTGGAAATGCATTTATTAAATTTAATAGTAATTTAATAAATATTTTTTTAATTAAACAATTAAAAAAAATTAACAGTTAAAAATAATCACTTAAAAATAATTATTATACATATTTTTATAAACTATTTAATTTAGTAAATGTGCGACATGTCCTCCTCCTTTTTGAATACATACCCTACATCTTTTTATTAATAAAAACCGAATATTTTAAAAAATAGTAGGTTTGCCCCTAAATCTGTTAGCGGCAAACAATATTTGGTTCAAAAGTTGATTTTCATTTTCAATATTAACTGAATATTGTAACGTGATCTCTAGTTATTCTATCTACTTGTTTAATGTGTTTGAGCTCAATTGATTGGTCGTGGGTTAGGTTATTTAATAATTCGAATAACGTTGAAAAAGAAGTTGGGCACCACTATATTTAAAGCTTACTATACTTACTTGATTTTAAATTAGTGATAAAAATATAGAAAATCACTAACCACAAAAAAATTATATTTTAACCATGCTAACAAATTCTAATTCACATATTTTTACTAAATTCAAATATAAGTTGATTTATTAAATAAAACTAACTTTTTGGTAAAAGGAGGTAATATAAGGAATGTTTTATCGCATCGTATATCCTCAGGCAACTTCCTCTGAGGGATTCGGTATCCTTATTCGTAATTCTGCAACGTGAATGATCTCGTGATATTTGGTATTCTAACTTAAACTCGAAACTGTCTAGATCTTCTAGAGATGAATCAAACAACGGTCTTTAGATTGTACCAAAACCAAAATAAACTTTTAGGTATAAAAACCATAAAACATCTTGAAAGGAATTCAAAACCGTCTAGATATAGCCATGCTTATAAAATCAGACGGATAATAAGAATATTAAAAATCATCTTATACATAGGATGACTTAGATTAAAATGAATGTAATCTATTTGATATCTTCAAAATGAAATTAAATATTAACTTTTGGCACAAGGCATAAACGACAAATGACATTTGAGTAAAAGGTGATTGTGTCGAAATAACGAATAACGGTTCCAACCGTTACAATATACGTCCTTTTTCATAATACCTTAAAAAATAAAAACAATTGGATTCATGTCCGGCGAACGAGCAGACCAAGAAATAGATGCATCTGCACCCTTTTCAATTTATTACCCTGGATAATTAAAAAAAAAAAACTGCCTTCCAAATTGACTGAAATGGGCTAACGCTCCATCATGCAGAAATCACATGTATTGCCTTACGTCTACATTTATGTGTTCCAAAGGTTCCGGTGACTGGTCTCTTAAAAATTCTAAATAATTTTCTCCGTTTAAGTTATTTGGCAAAATTACTGGTCCAATTAAATTATTTCCAATTATTCCCGCCCACACTTTTATTCTAAAATTGTGTTGGTGACGACTGACTTTTTTAACTTAGGATTTTCATCTGCCCAGCTATGGATGTTATGAAAGTTAGTCGCACCGTTTTTAGTGAAACTTCCTTTATCTGTAAATAATAGTAATAATAAATTTATATCACGCTGATTTTCTTCCAAAAACCAATCACATAATCCGAAGCGTCTTGGGTAATCTTCAGGGAGTGGCTCTTGTACAGGTGTTAAAAGAAATGGATACAGCTGTTGACTTTTTAAAATACGCAATACTTTAATATGACAAATTTAGCAAATTCGTTATCCAAAATTCTCGTTCTGTTTCTCGGATGATTCGCGATTTCTTCCATAATTTGATCATCATACGCATAGTCTTTATGACGACCGCTATTTCCTGCAACCTGTTTTTCAACGAGCCAGTTTCTCTCAACCTTAAAGCTCTCTGCCCACTACAGCGTACTATACCATGACCATAACAGGAACGTGTCAGTCACGAAAGAAAGCACTCCGGTCACTACTGGGCCCACTGCAGCGAACCAACAGCGTTTTTTCCTCACATACAAC